CCTTCGTTTGGTTGCCGCTTCGTTCTCCAAGACATCCCAAGACTTCCTCCTGCATCTGGAAGAAGATCACATCTCAGCGGCGGATTGCGGCAATGTTTGATCATATTGACAGTGTCAATCTGAATGTAGTTAAAAATGCCATAACATGCCTGTCCATGCTGTTATAAATATGAAATTTGAATGGCTTCCAACCTACGCATTTGTCATTGTTGCTGGAAAATCTCGCACCACTCCGGGTGCCCAGATGCATGAAGTTTCAAACCGAGACATGCGAGGAACCCTTGGTAGAGCAGGGTCTCACCCAACACGATTTTCACACCTACGTCTTTGTCTTTGGCCTTGATATTCTTGTTGCACATAGTGCTGCCGTGTGCTGTCTTTAGTGGCCATTTTAGATTTAGAACCCCGAACTTTCCCATGCCGAGGGATGCGATCCTGGACGGTCACCCAGCAGGATCCAGAGGTCTTTGGGTTTTTTGTGGGATGAAGCTAGGTTGAGGGCGTAGGTCGGGGTTATACCACATACCGCAGGCCAGAACCAGACAGCGTGTTAAGTGGCAGAAGGTGTTCAAGGAAGCCATGTTGCGGATATCATTGTATTGTTCGTGCTACGTTTTAACACTCACAAAGAGATAGCTCCCTTCCACAGTGGTTTGTGCTGGCACTCCTCTTCGCAGTCCTCCTCCTGCTCCTCCCCCTCCTGCGTCTTCTATTACTATTGCCCGCAGCAAGCAGTTCTTGAGAACTCGTATCAGCATGGTTGCAAGGGCACGCAGGAGATCAGTGCAGTTTGAGAATCTTAGTTGTGCCTGTGTTGTGCACGACTTTGCACGCCCTCAAAGTCTGTGAGCTCGAGATCTTGAACCGCAACACTGACGCATGAAGACCAGAAACCTAAATCCCTCGATTGGAGCGCGGCGCGCTGGCAGTGCTTGGCAGGTTCAGCTTCTCTACGAGGAGGCAGCGCATGATGACCTGGGCATTATCAGCATGCCTGGCCCTTTGTTTAGGGGGGTTGAGGGATATGTAATGTAGGTACGGAGATGGGGGGCCAAGAGGGTCTACTGCTTTATGAGGTTAGGGAGATTCTCATGTAATTAAGGGTTTGCCATCACCTCGATGAAGAAGCATAGGATGTCTGGGAGAGTGTCGGATTACAGCAGGTAATAGACATCATATCAGTTGTACCCTTATAATAGACCGATTGGCGGAGGGCCACTTGTCTGCATGGCAGCTGGTGTTGTCTCTGGAGACGTGGGCATTTTTTATTACGCGATTTTTCAGGGGAAGGTCATATAGTTTTCCTGGCTCTCTGGGCTGGCGCTCTGGCAACCCCTTCAGTTCGTAGTGCCTTTGCCGTCCTCTGTGCGGGAAGCTGCCGGACCGCCCCTCCTGATTTTGGACGGCACTATCTGAGCTAGATGTTGTTTTTGCTTGTTGCATGTTGTTTGCCAAGACGCAGGTGCCTTTTCCCAGGTATGGTTCAGGGTGTGGGGTTGCCTAGAGCCCTGAACAGCAGGCCTGTATATCCTGAGCCATGCCCCGGATCTCAGGTACCTCACAGAAGGCCCACGGGCGCTTGTCAGCACTGGCCTGGATCGCAGGGTGCGGACATGGAGCTCCCTGGCTTAAGTTTTGGGGTGGAGGGGAAGGCTGTAATTCCAGCCAAAGCGGGGGGGGGGGGTGGGGGTGGCTTTGGGGATGAAAAGGGTGTTAGTACGGTTTGAGGTTGTAGGACAGCCTAGCGCTTGTCCAAAATGCAAGGGCAATATGCTTGATGCAGACTCCCTGCTGCATTTCTTTCTTTGAAATCTAAGCTTAGTACTAACATTACCGAACCACAGCTGCTTTTTTCTGCCCAGACCCGAGCTTCTCAGCTTTGGGCCATGGGGCCCTGGAACGAAAAGCTGAGCAAATTCCTCCGTTGTCTAGGGCTTTCCCTACTCGCAGGACCACATTCAAGCAATCAAAACAATCATTGCGCACCCTAGCCCCCCTGGCCATGTAGTAGCTGGGGCCACCCACAACGGCTTAGGGAGATAAACCGTTTGATTCGAGGTTCCCCAAGGCCGGTCCGTACGCCTAGAGTCGAGGCCCGCCCCGAGGGATTAATCCTAGACCAGGGATGCAGAAGTTGCCTAGCTCCGTGGAAAGTTGCAGGACTGATTGAGGAAACTCAGTAGCAGCCAGTGGCACGCCGTAGACGAGTATGGCCAAAAACAGCAGGGATGCTCAACCTTTAGCCCTGAACCGAGTCGACGTCCAGAAAGGACATCAAAACATGATGTTTAATCTGAGGCATGCAGCTGGATCGGCTGGGAACGTTAATGCAGAGTCCGGTACTCAGTTGGGTTTTGGTCTGTCATGGTGTGCTAAGGTGGATAGCGTAAAGTCTGCATGAACAGACAAATCCGAACCCTAAAATCTAAGGGACAGGAGTTTCGGAACGCAGTCGGCTCCAGAGCTGTAGTTCCTGCATTGGGTGAGGAACTGGTAGGCGGTTTTCGTGAGCGTGTACAGGGTTGCTTGGGGAGGGACTAGTAGCCTGAACTAATATACATGTATAAGTTATATATATATAAATATACACATCAGTTTGTATATAAATATATATATATATCTATACACATACATCCCGATGCCTAAGGCCGTAGCCTGAAACGCAAAACGCAAGTCTATGGTTGGGCGGGGAGCCAACTCATGGCCCATGACATTACCTCACACAAGCTGCAGACGCCCCATCCTCAAACATGAGAATCGCTTTTGCTATTAGCCCTGGGTTTCTGCCCGAAACGCGCAACGTCTTGTGTGCCACCCTGGGCCGCGGTTCAAGGAAAAAACACATCCGAATGGTGAGGATGTGCACAGAAGTAGTGGATCTCTCTTCCTTGCTCTTTCTGAGAGCCTCAGTAATTTTCCAGCTCTTCCAGCATCAAGCAGGTCAACCGCAACCCTGATGCCTTAGCTCTGTGCCCTGTTCAGTGCTCAATTCAGAGGCCTTACAGCTACTTTGAACATCCCTGTCCCACACCGTATACTCTTTGATGTAGAAGCTAGAATACTTAGTATACACGTTCAAACTACCTGGTTTGCCTTGCGTTTTGCATGTAGTATTCCCTCTTCAGCATTGTACAATGTATCCATGGCCCCAAAAAAGCTAGTCCCACTATTCATGTCCATTTCCCCTTGCTACTGAGGCCACGATCGACATTTCCGCTTTCCTCACGACCCCGTGTCAACGCAGGAGGCATCTAGAGGTATTGCTCAGGAAAAGGTTTTCTTCATACCTTGTCAAAGTAATAGAATCCTTGTTATGACGACCCCAAGAAAGAATAATGATTTCCAAGAAATCTTTGTGAGAGTTCCCAGGGTCCCAGGGGGCGGGCTCTAAGATCAAGGCCGCAGCCGTTTTCATGCTACAGTATGGGACACCAATGATCTCGAAACTTGAAGAACAGGGCTTAAGGCTTAAGGTTGAGGTCTTGGTTTAAAGGTTAGTTTGTTTTTCGATAGGTCAGGAGACCTGTGCTTCGTGAGCTTAGAACATACCAAAGGAGCATTCGGGACAAGATGAACCTCCCATGTGCCCCGTGGCGACAGGTTCGTGAAAGCATTAACTTTTGATCATTGGCTTTTCTCTGGCCTGTTCAGCTCTCACCCTGAACGCTGGGCCCTAAACAGGAGGGAAAAAGTCCCATACAGGGCAAAAAACAGCATGCGGCTCACTCAGTTCTAGTGATTTTAGTGGCCAGCGCCAAAAGCACCACCAATTCCAAATCGGGCGAAGGCTGCCTCATCAATTTTGCAGGCCCTGAATTGTATTTGGAGATACTTGAGGACCCTAAACCCGCCAGTCAGACAGCGAAGGCAAAGTTCCAAGAAGCATCTGAGTTGCTGCAGAGGTGGCCTCTGCTTAGGGCTTCCTTGACCAACACTGTGCATTTTCTAGGTATCCCAGGAGAATTTCTCAGGGCACTGGGTGTTTAGGATTCAGCGTTTGGGATTAGGGGGTCTGAGCTTTGTCGTTTGTCGCTTAGGAACTTGGAGCTCCCATGATTTGGAGAATTTGGGGTGTGCCCGTGGCGTAGAGGTGTTCAGCTTAAAGGTTTCAGATATCATGGTTCGCTGTGACGCCTTAGTTTTCAAGGTTTTAGGAATTGAGGTTGGGTGCTTTGAACTTGGGCTCGTTGCGCCATGAGACACTTCCAACGTGCAACTGTTTACCAGGACCCGGAAAAGGACAGGTACAATGCATTGAAGAGCAAACGGTCTTGTGGATTCGACCCCTTGAAGGAAGTCAATTTTTGTTACCCCAAGATCCTTGCATACAGCTTGGCTTTAAGAAGCGAACAGCCGCATATGCTTAGCAGCTTAATACTCACTGCTCAAATAGGGATCTGGCTTATTGGCCGAAGAAAAGACCCGAGGGAGCAATTACTTGTTATGAGGGTCACGAGGTGGGATGAAGATCGGCTGGGTCAACAACCATTGCTCCAAAGAGAGGAGACAAAGCTGTGCAGTTGGCGTTCTGCATTGCAACCGCAGTTTTCATCCCAGAGTTTGACTGGCACCTTGACATACTGGAGTTCCGATTGTAGCACGGTTTGGTGCTTGATATGACTGTCAACAGCAGACGTCCTTTTGTGTAGTGTGCCGCTCGGACATTCAGTATGTCCTGATGAGATGCCACCACTATCATATTGTGCTAGGAGGGGGTTTGGTTTCAGGGCTTTCCTGTAGTCGCCCTTGCACGGCACCGTTTTCAGAGTTACAATCCAAGACCCCCAAACCTCTCCCGGATCTTTCTTGAAAGATCAGGTCGTTTCCTGTATCCCCAACTCGCCAGAATCCTTGACCTACGTGCAGGTTAGAACCGCAGACCGCGACTTACCACCTGAGATTTGCCCCAGCGTCCTGAACGTGACGCGCCAAAGCGAAATTGATCCCACGCGACAACCAAATCGACTTCAAACCTAAACTGTAACTTTGTCAGCACGCAGGTTTGGCCCCTTGGATCAACGTCTGCGATTGCCTCCCATCAATGGCGTTACTGGAGCCAGGTGGAGGGTTTTGGCAAATGCTGGTGCTTTATGCCTGACACATTTTTACATTCCGGGTGGGTGAGACTAGGATATCCCTGCTCCAGACCACATGCACGGATTGCATCAACATGTTCACAGCCTTCGTCTTACTATGGTTAGTTCAAGGTTAAGGGCTTCAGACTGTGGTGGGCAGGGTTTCTCCTGTTTGTAAAAAATGCATACATACGCGTTCATGGCCGTTCATACATACAACGCTTCTACATGCACATATGAGCTTGGACAAGAATCCCGGCCATTACAGTTTGCTTTGAATGGAGTCGGATAGAATCTGGCGGCATGTGCCAGATCATGGGAAACGCTAAAAGTAAAAACACGACGTAGTATTTCATGTTATTTGATGGGAAGACGATGAGGGTAACAACCAGACGGTAACGTGTTCAATTAGATATAAGGCCGGCCTCTACCTCTTTTGGTGTCGGTCTTATGAAGAAGACGGAGGCAGAAGCGAGGAGTGTTTGGTATCCACCAATCGTCAGCCCCACCTTTACGGCAGGAGCGCGCAGGACATGCTGCTGTCGCTGAGCAGCATGAAGACCAAGCCTGCGAAGAGAAAGGCCCCGTCATTTGCTTCATGATCGGTCTCATGTTGCGTGCTTGTCTCGCCAGTCTTCCAATGAACAACTGGCATCAAGCTATCACGGCGGCGATCGTCATCGATCATGATTGTCACGTCGTCATGAGTTTTATCCCGAACCCTGGAACCCCCTGGCACATTCGTTGGTAGCGCTTGTTCTCATGTAGGTGTGCTAGTACCGTCAGTCATCGCGCGGCACCACCATCACAATCATGATCATCCTAGTAATCATCATCACCGTTGTCGTCGTCGTCTTCTTGTCAATCGGTGCTGCGCAAAAGGTATCCAGATTTACAGTTCAACATGCTGAGATTACCTTTTCCAAAAATTGCCATCTCGCCTCAGACGTGATCCTGTAAACGCTGCCTTGCCTTTGCAAGCTTATTTCAGGTTCCATGTTCATCGGTGGAAAGATCTAGTCATGTAACATCCCATTTGGGCTTCTAGGGAAGGGCGTTTTTTAAACCTTGCCCTTCCCTGCTGACAGGATGCTGAGATGGCTTGGCGAGTCACAGCGGAGCAGGCTTGCTTGATTCGCTGTTGGGCCTGCAGCGAAGAGAGCCTTAAGGGTTCAGGGTTTAGAGTGTAGATGTCTCAAAACAAGGGGTGCCTTGTCGTAGAATCCAAGAATGCGACATCTTTTCGTGACGCAGCCGCCATTTGAAAGGAATCTCCATCCCGAAGCTTTGGGACGTGTTTATTCCTTTTCTGCTCGCTCCAAGCATGTAGGACATTTTCACCCCACAGGAAGGCAGCAACTCCTGACTACACGTCAGCACAAACATGCAGCCTGTGCTGTGGTCCTGCTTGGCCGCCTTGCAGCCTAGCACTTAGGCCAAAAGTTGTACGGAGCAGGGATCATCAGTCTTAAAGCCCATGGCATGCCGCAGGTCATGCAGGATCCCGACGACGTGGAAGAGGAGCCTTGATCTGTATGATCTAGCCCAAGCCAGACGGCAAAAGAATCACCTCAAATGAAGAAGAGCGATCAGGGCAGGCAAGGGCCGTCAGATTTGCAGATCCTGCCATAAGCCCTTCTCACGGCTGGTTAACTTCTTGTTTGTCCGCAGAGAGTCTGTCGCCGGAGACTGCTGATACATGTGCAGCTACCGACTGTTTATGTTTTTGGCATGCCCTCTCAAGAAACCCCAAACCCTTGCGCAAGTGCGGCTCCCCTCAGATTTGCGAAGCTCGTGAAGCAGCCAGTTACATTGAGACAGCTATCCTTTCAAAGTTTGGGGGAGCGTTGTGCCTAGTGGAGGATGATTACCGCATGCTGTTCGAGCAAATGGAACGCAGTGTGCCCGGTGGCTTTTTTGCTAGAGGTCAAGAGTTCAAGGTTTAGGAATTGGGGTAGCTAGAAAAGGAGTTGAACAAAACATCTAGCTAGTGTATCATTCAGCTTCATGCAGGGTGTAGGCTAGAATTTCACGATTCGGGTTTAGGACGTATGCGCTGAGAAGGAAGCACAGGCAATATTCACATATGTATCTCAGAGTAGGGTTCCGAAGGATTAGACACTAGAAAAGTCATGCAGCAGGGGCATTTCTTCTTGAGGCTGTCATCCGATCCATTTTTGTTGGATCTTGGGCTGGTTCCCATCACGACTTCCATGACACGCACTGCCCCCAAACTCCAGACCCGCCCTGATTAGCTCCCCAAATACAGGCACCACCTGGAGAACTTCGGCAAGCCATCCAATCACAATTTTGTTCAACATGGCAGATTCATCCCATATGATCTTCGCTGTTTTGTTCTAATGGTTCAGGCATCGTCATTGCAGTACAACAGAAGAGCAGCAGTAACAGCAAGGGGTTCAGCAGCCAGAGCATGCAAGACTTCTTCGTCCTTGTCATCATCATGGACCCGCTTCCCCGTATGCATGACACTTGCCGAGATTCAGCGACCCATAAGGCGAGAGCTTTGCTGGCGGACCATCTGCCAATGAAATGGACGGCAAGGATTGCTTGACCGAACCCATTGCAAATCCTATGGTATGCGTGTTTATAAAGACGTGCCAACTTGCTCGCCTATACCCACTGCTCCAACGAACAATTTTTTCAAGAAATGTATATTGCCATGGATCTACAGTCTGGTCTGGGTTGATACAAGCTGAAAAGTAGATCTCAAGCAGCCAGCGTGCGACGTCTCAACGTTACGCCTTACGCATCCTTTTCTTAGCGCTCTCTTTCAGGGAACGAGGGGCCCCGTCTTCCGTTGGGATGACCCTCCTTGCTTGCTGGGTTGCGTCAAGGGTGTATCCAAGTATATTTACTATTGCTAATTTTATGGTCGTCATTTTGATTATTCTGATTATTGTCACTATTACCCTTACTATTGGTATTACTATTATAACTGTTATTGTTGTTATGATTGCTGTTAGTATTGTATTACTGTTATTCGTACTTTTTAAACATTAATTATATAATCTCTTCCTATGCCGAAGCACGTGCTGTGTCGTCATTACCCCCATGAACCTGGCAGCCTTGATGGGGGCCCCAGCTGGGATAGTGCATAATAATTCTACTAATAGTAGTAAGAGTAACGCCAATACCTGGCGGCACCCTAATGCCTGCATGCAAGCTGCGTTCTTACTGATCCCGAAGCTTCACACAGCTTTCGCCAAGGTAGGCGAATCCCCGCCTGTCCATGCCTAGAGCTTTGAGCTCTTGACCTCTTTTAAGGAAATAAATGCGCATGGCCCACGTCTCAGCCCGAACACGTCCAAGGTTGCTTGTTTGTGGGCATAGATGGCTTGCCTGCGCGGTCAAGGGTGGCCATTGTGGGCTACCATAATATGCCAAGTGGTGAACATGTCTGGCTCCACCGCAATCTCAGGTTTCAAAGGGCCTGAATCGGCCTGACGTAAACCAGACACATTATGCGAGTAACTTAATCCCCAACATTTAATTCCATGGAACAACACGAAATTCCTCCCTCCTCCTGAAACCCTAAATCCAAGCATCACAGGACCGCTTAGTCCGTTCTTTCCGCGCGTTGCAGGCTCGACCTGGGGGAACCGCCCCCAAGGTTTGGGTGCATATTGGGGCGGCGTAGGTGAGTTTCTAGACGGAGTATTGACCAAAGCTCATTCCCAAGGTTGTGGGACCATTTATCAGGTTCTTAGAGTAAACTCATGTTCTAAGAGTATGCACGTGGGACGCATTTTGCAAAACAACTTGTCTTGTGGTTGCAACTAGATTGCAACCTCCAGGAGCTCAGGCCTAGACTTCTACAGGTGTTCACTCAAGTCTGTTCACCCAATCTGCGCGAACCCTAGTTGCTGAGGAATTCGTCTGATCCATTCTGATCCCCAAGAATCAATCTGCCCGAAGCCTGCGCTGACCTGAGCAAGCCCCAGAACAAATCATCCTGAATCGCCACAGTCATTTGTGAGCGGCTGGAACATGATGAGCCCACTACCGCCCTTCATGAGAAGATACTCAACTACTTCAATGATAGTATTGTTTACGCGTCTACGATTCTACGACACCAACCACGCTCTACACTCAAGTCGAGTGGAGGCTAACCGTATGCCACACAGAACGACGCCGCTATCCAAGGCTCCTGCGTGATGGAGTTTTGTTGTGAAAACTCAATGAAGTTCTGCTCCGTTTGAAAAGTGTGCAGCGCAGGCCAGGCAAGAATTTTACCTAAACGCAGAGGGTAGAGGTTGGGGTTTGGCGCTCACGATTGAAGGTCTCCAGTTGTTTGTTTTTCAGATCTGTCGTTATCGGGATCTTATGCTTTCAGGTCCGCGTTTTGCACATGTTGGCGTATTGGGCTTGGAAGATAAGTCTCAAAACTACGAACCGGCCAAACCTGAGCTGAAACTCTCAGTAATCCCAGCCCTAACCCTAAAACTGGCCCTAAACTCCAAACTCCACACGGAAAACCCCAACCTCCCAAACCTTACTGGCTCTTTGTCGGGAAGAAGGGAATGTAATCCCTATATATAATCCCTGTATACTTTATTCCCAGATTCTCTTCTGACCCTAAACCCTAAATCCTAATCTGATTCCCTACTAACCACCAATAAGAAGCGTTGATCCGTAAACCCTAAACCCTAAACCCTAAATCATGAACCCTAAACCCAGAGGTTCGGGGCATAATGCTGACAATGATTCCACCAGAGGCTGGCAAACTACTCTAAACGGGTGGTTGAAGAAGTAACCTGCCACTTCCAGTCAGAACAGGTTTTGTTGTTGTGATGGGAAGGGACTTGCACAGACATACCGTCTCCTCTTGTCAGGGCAACTCTGTCGTCTGTGAGCCGTGTCATGCGGGGGACCTGCACAGCCATACAGTCTCCTGTTGTCGTGGAAATTCTGTCGCCTGTGAGCAATGTCAGGCAGGGTCAGGGTCAAGTTGGAAACCCCTGGGGCCGTGTTTGCAAACATTTCCGTAGACTTGTGCTGCGGAGAAAAGGTCCGAGAAAAAAAAACCCTAGATCCTAAGCCCTAAACCCTAAATCAGAAACCCTAAGCCCTAAACCCTAAATCCTAAGCCCTAAACCTGCGCAGCAGGAGGAGGCTCAGGCCGCAGACCGCTTAGCCGACGCGATGGTCCGGACCTTTGAGAGGGTGTGGGTTTAGGGTTATAATCCCCATTAAGTAGATAGAATGTTATGGTTATATTGGGGTTATGTAGGGATGATGGAAAAGAAATTGGAAACTACTATTTAGGGTTTAGGGTATAGTCCCCCTAAAGTAGATAGAATATGGCTTTGGGTATACAAAAATAAGATCCCCATATACCCCATATTCTATCTACTTAAGGGGGACTATATAGATTGGGGTTCAGGGGTGTATAGACACTACATAGGGATATGTGGGGCTTAGGGATTAGGGTTTAGGGTTTTAGTGTCGGTTTTCTGGGATTTGGTCGCAAGATGATTCCAGATACATGTCAGAGAACCTTTTTTTGCAATTGCCGGTAAAGTACGTTGCCTTGAGCTTTCAATAGGTGGAGTGTCAGGCGTTGGTTGGACAATTCAATTCAACGGTCAATGGACAATGCTTAATGGCTAAACTCTAAACCCTAAATCCTGAACGGATGAGCGACCAGGGGTTCAACGAGGGAGTAGTGAGAGAGCAGGCCTTGGGCCTCCCATGTGCAGCAGAGGAGGTTATAGGGGCGAATGCTTGGGGGTCCGGATGCAGCTTTTTTTAAACAGGGGTAGGTGCCCAGGATTAGGATCTGATTTTTGGGTAGAATAGGGTCGGAGGATTCGGGTTTGGAAGCTGTTTTTTTTTTTTGGCTTCGCATTTTCGTCGGAAAGCGGCCCGCAAAATCCCCGCAACCACTGTAGAGCTTCAATGCTATGGGGGGCCTGGATCCACTTCGGGCGCTGCAGAAAATCCTAATTGGGCTCTAGGAGTCCAAGGCGAAACAGGGGCTACTCCCGCCTGGATGTATAGTACAAGACAATAAAGCATTGTAACATATTATAGTCTTCTCAAGGCATTTTTTAGGGTTTATCCTTGCGCTAAACGACGTGAAAGCGCTGCTAAATTCATGGAGCCAAGGGATACTGTATCTTGCTACTGTTGCCGTGGTTAGGTGCATGGGGCCATCACACGGTATAGCAGGGAACCCCCTCCAACTACTATACTTGGCTTGTGCCCTGCATTCTTCAGGTACAGCTTTGCGTTAGGTGGTGCTTTGGCTAGTGCAATTGCAGGTGTCATCGAGCAGCCAGACAGATAGTTATTGCCGCTGTGCCAAATTACCATGTGTGGAAACAGAGACAGCTCACTCAGCATTTGGTCGCCAAACGTGCGCGCGCTCGTGTGTGTGTATGTGTGTGTGTGTGTACCGTTCTA